TCTCTTGGACTCTAAAGTTCATTGAAGATTCTTTTACTTGCTCAATTGCTTGTGTCAAGGGGAATTAATTCTGGATGAGGGCTGCAACCATGGTATGGATTTCCTGATTCAATTTGTTGCTTTTGGTTTTTCAGATAAATAGAAGAATGGAATTTGTATTTGCTAGTCATAGTTTTGATGTTTGGGAGAACTGGACGCTGGAAGGTTCCCTAGAGGAATGTAGGTTAGTCAACTGTAGAAATTCATCGGTAAGTGCTCTGTTTCTCTGAGACAATTCCCCTACCCAAGTGCTTTTCTTGTTCGGATTTTCTGATTCTCCTGCTAATTATATGAATTGCAGGCCGTTCTGGATATACGCATTGAGATTTTGGCTACGGTTGGCGAGGACGGAGTAACTCGCTGGATTGACTAGCCTAGCCTAATACGAGCATTTATTCTATGGTGTGTTCTAATTCAGAATGACGAGCGAGCTTGTAAATCATTCCTGTCCGGCAACTACGATTTTTTTTTTTTAACGTCTCTACGGAACGAGTGTATTTCGTAATGTAGAATGGGGTGCTATTTGTTTCCACAAGAAATGGCTTTTGCTCTTTTCAGGAAATTGATGATATTTGATTTGCGTGATGAATGGACCCGGCTTTCCTTTCGAGTTTGCAAAAGAACCATCACACTATAGAAATTCTCTTTCCTCTTTAGGAAGATGTACTCTTCGCTGCATGTTTCCTTTCGAGGCCGGTTAAACTTCCTTGGTGGGATCATGTCTATAAACTTTTTTAACCATACTTTTGACACACGACTAGATGTTGATCTAGTTTAAATTGGCAGATTTAAATTTACGGCATGCGTTGAGGTCTTGTTTTCTTCAACTCTACAAATAGCTTTTCCTGTACTAATTATCATACATTCTAATATAAGCATATTTTTCTAATGATTTTATTTCATTATAATGTTTGATTGACCATAATCATGAAGATAATTTCTTATATTAAGCATGATTCGTTAAAAATTAGGACTACAAATTTATGACTTTGTACATCTTTATCTTTATTTATGCTTCTCCATTTGCATAAATCTATCCGGTTGTTGTCATTTTAGTTCATTTTATTCTCTATTTTCTCATTCTATTTCATTCCTATCTTTCCCAACCATCAAAGGAGACTTGAAATTCTTAAAAATCAAAGACACTATGCTTTTAAAGCTTACGTTTTAGGTCTTATTTCATTGAACATTTAAACATAAAGTGTGAATATCATCCCTCAAAATTTGAACTAAATCTAACGGTAAATTATCCCCCACATTGCAAGTCGTGCATATTCTTTATCAACAACAATATTTGTTCTAGATTTGTTGTCCTCCAGTGCATTCCTGGTTAGAAGGGGGACCCGATAAGGATCCGATTAGGATCCAACACGAGGAAGCGATTTCTGGCGCGTGGAACACAACGAGCACTCCTTCGGCCAACCATCCTGTTGCGGTGTCGGCCCCTTCTGGTTTCAGGTTCGCCCCCTTCTTGATGAAATTGTTCATTACCTCATTAATATCTGCTCATGGCCTAAAAACTCAGAGCATCTCGGCTCTGTCATCAGTCCAGCCAAGTCTCAATGATGTCCCACTACTGCCCACATGGAATGTCTAGTAGAGGAAGTTCATGAGAATGCGAGTGCCATATATTGCATCACTTTCTTTCTCCATAACAATATGCGCTTTCAGACAGCAGATCAGCTAATACAATCTGAAGATAATTTCTTGCGGGAAAAGGATGAACATTCCCAACACCCTTCGGGCTTCACGTGCAGGGCCGGTTGAACATGATCTTTCAGTTCTTCTGCAGCACTTTACCTCTCAATGTTTTTCAAATTTCAGACAATGTTGATCTTTTCGATTGCACCGCCCTCTTGGCTTGTAATGAAAATATAATGCTGACCTTTTTCGTTTTCTTTTTTGGTTAAATATATGTTTATTCTTTTATTTTTCAAAAAAACACAAATATTTGTGAATTGTGGCATGCTTACGCAAAATATCAACTTTTAAAATTGACGCCTCATTACTAATGACTTTAAACTCTGGAAACAGCCAGTTGCGCAGAGGCTACGATCTTTACCAACCAAGAGAGTGAGAAGGCATATGACTGAGAATGCTGTTCGTAGCGCCAACTCCTTGAACTGTAGCCTTCTGTTCATTACGCAATACGCGGGGCTTATCCGTTGTCCTTGTTTTATTTAGTTGCACAAATTCAATTCCTGTGAATTGGAATTTAGGCTTTTAGTTCCCAAACCTCCCTCCATCATCCCAAGTGCCAACTATATATATGCAATCATCTCAGCAGCAATGTTCTATTCCACCGCTTTCGGGTAAAAGGATTGGTGCTGAGTAAGCATAATGTAAAAAATTAAAAACGTCATGACAGCGTCTGCTTTTGCCGGGAGTCCAACCCTGGTATATTTGGACTACACTGGAAAATGAATTTGCAGAGTGCGTTTTCACTGGTTAGAATACGTTAGCAATGCTTCAAGACATGTCAAGTGCAATACCCTGATGTAGTACTAATTTAAGTACTTCTATTTCAAAATACATCGTAAAGTTTTACACATACATAAAGCAAATTTTAAACTTGAATTCAAGTTCAAACCCTTGTCTTGATTTTGGAGCTATACGCAGTTTGTTTATCAGCAAGCCTGTTCCAAAGCATGACACCTCCGTACTGAGGTGATTTCTTAACAAAAGGCAACACTTGAGCTATGAGCTTTTGTGTGGAAACAAACCCACTACCAGCTGCAGACGGAGACGCAGGAAGTCCAAGATAGAGTTGGGTCCCTTTAACAGAAGAAGCCCATTGGGCCCATGTGGCTCGGAAGTTAGAAGGACTCCGAGATGAAAACTGACAAGGCGGGTTGTTGTAAAACTGAACCCAAACAAAGTCAAAAAGCCCACTAGAAAGGGCCTCATTTTAGATGTGCATCTGGGAATGGACACTGTGGTGCTGCTGTTAAGTACACTTTCTTTCTGCTTCGTTTGCTGTGTTTCATCAGTCTCCTCGCTAACTCACCATAGTAAGCTTCACCTCCTCCTGCATCAATAATATTAGTCTCAAACAAGTCAGTTTTAAGATAGGTTTCTCAGAATTTTAACAAAAGGGCTATATCAACAATATCAGTCATAGTCACCGCTAGTGAACTGACTTTTTAGACACTGGTTGAAAATGACTCTCTGTTTTACTTCTGGAATGGATGTGAAAAGTTAGACAATTTCTACACGCACACACGCACTTTCTGCATGGGTTAAAACTCACAACCGGGTGTAGAAAGTGGAGTTTGAGGCTGACCTGTTTCGATATCAAAGTCTACGCCATCCAGCACAGCATCACCTAATGGTCTGGAGGTGGATTTTCCTCCTAAGGAGTTGTTCCAGAGGAAGTCTGCCACATTTATGGCATCTTTTCTAGAGGAGAGAGAGTAAGTCTGAGTGCCACCTCCAACGGAGATTATGATCTTTATCCTTTTCTTCTCGCAGTTCTTAATGTCTTTGCTGAGAGTTTGACAGGCGTTAAATGAAGCATCACAGTGACCTGCGAGATCCATCTTAGGCTGACTGCCATTTCCAAAGGTTGATAAGAATGCAACGTTGACTATCTGGTAGAGTCCGGAGTTGCATGCTTCAGTCAACGTTCCTTCCCTCCCATCTTGGCCCCAATAAACCACGGTGTTTCCACCTTTTGATTTTGAAACCATAATGGCCAATGTGATAACAAGTAAGAAGACAAGTGAAGGCTCAGAATGTGATTTCTTCCTCATAGTTCAAGCTTTACCTCCTTTTTTCTCACCTTTTGTTGCTTAAAAGTTGATTCATAGTTCGGAGTTAGCTCCCCCGTTTATAGAGGTCGAGTGCCTGCTAATAATTGATGATAAAACGGTGTTTAGAATAATATAAACAAAATTTATGTTTAATTTTTTAGTTGGGCTGAGTTGTTAGTTTATATTCATTTTAATAAACATATATTAAATAGGCGCATATTTTCTTAAAGATTCTTCTTGTCACTTGTTTTCATTTTATAAAAAAGTGTAGTAACGATGATCCCACATTTGATTTAAGTTTTAACGGTAGCAAAAACGGACAGAATGGCACAGAATAGTAGAAAAAGACATAAATTAAGTATCATTGATGGAGAAATGATATGAGTGTGGTATTATAACAACTTGCTCTGACCAATGTTGTTGTGTTTAGGTGAAAATGGAATCCTGTAATTTTATTATTGGCAACCACATTGCTCAATTAGGACCCAATCCATCTTTTGTTTGTTTGCTTATCTGTTTTAATTAAATGTCTGATTACTTAATCATCACTAATTAATTTTTCCATCTAAACTGCCTGTTGCACGGCATCATAGATTTGTCTCTCCTCCTGCATTTAATAACCAACCATATTCCCCCTATTACTACTATTTCAGTTTTAAATTTTGAATTTACTTGTACTCATTTTTGTTAAGAAAAAATGAATTCCTTAGAGATTTCAGTCCAAGAAAACTTAATATAAGAGAATCTTAATAATTTGTAAATATTGGGCTTTTGTGTTTTTTTTTTAATTAGGTTGATGGTACACCCAACACTCTCAACTATTTTTTGAGATGCATCTAACATACTAAAATATTTAGTAGGACAATTTTGGCCCAGCCTATTAAAAATAGAGCAATTCTCACCCCTAGTTAACACCCCCATAAACCAACAGGAGTTGAGTCTAGCAGAAGGAGTTAGTCCCTCACAACGTAACGAACCAATATTCAAATCTCCGCTGAGAGAGGTACCCACATTTAGTGCTTAACAGTATCTCAAATAAGAATACTTCTAGACAGGAGGATATCTATGCTTGGGGGGGGACACCTCCATGAACGTCCGTTTTCTCCTTTTCAGTAATGGGCTTTCACAGCTGCATCTTTTTTTTTTTTGAATAAAGACGATGAACAAGGGTACAAAAACCCACAAGCAAAAGAGACAAACCAGACCTATTTATCCTAAATCATCAGCCCCCGCCTCCTGAATGAAAGGTGGCTGTTGATCAAAAAGACAAAAAATTCTCTCATCTCTATGAGCAGACTTAGCTAACAGATCAGCAATATTGTTCTGTTCCCTATCCATAAAAGTAAGATGAACCTGCCAGTCCCTATACATCATCATCCTGGCATCCAAAATAATATCATTAAACGGGTGATCCCCCTCACAGCCCCTTGACAATAAATTTAAAACACTAACACAGTCAGAGCGAAGTAGAATTTTTCTGTAGCCTCTTTCCCAGCAAAGCTGTAGTCCGTGCATCACTCCCAGGAGTTCTGCCATAGCTGGAGGCACAGGAACAAGTTTACAGCGGAAGCCCACGATCCATCTTCCATCTTCGTCTTTGATGACCCCACCGCAGCTACTATCTCCGTTTGTAAGTACTAATCCATCTACCTCCAAGATTACACAACCATTCTTGTCTTGGTTCCCAACAATGGGAGGTAGAGTTTCATCATGGTAGAATTTACAGCTTTTGACTAAGTCTTGGTCCCATGCAGCTCTGAAAAAAGTATTCTTTCCCGAGAGAAGACCCCTACCATCGGTGCCGTCGAACAGCCTTTTACAACGTGATACCCATATATCCCAGCATAAATATCCAAAAAGAGTTGACCACGGGATTCTTCTTGTGTATTCTTGACCTGCTTCATGTTCCAAGTTCCATCGAACCCAGTCCACTCCCTGTAGTGTGACAAACATTCTTCATTTCGTTGGCTCCACCACTGTCTTCCATCTGTCTTTTGCATTGACACAGTCACGGAATAGGTGGAGAGTGTCCTCCTTATGTTCACACTGAAAAGGGCATGTTGCATCCTGCTCAATACCTCTACTCCCACGTAGCTTCGCTTCACAGCTGCATCTCACTCTCTCCCCCACCGTTTTCTGGTTCAACTGGCGTTCAGTCTCTTCCCTTTCGCTGTTGAAGAAGACGATGATGAACAAAAATTATTTTATCATGACCGTTGTCGAAGTTCAAGAACTGCATTATTAATTTCTTCCTGCTCTAGCACAAGCACGCATCATCGTCATGGCTCCTAAACTTAACACTGAACTCTGAAGGATCACCAGTGGCGACTTCGTTCTGCGACATTGACATTTGGGGGTAAAATGCCAGACGAACAGGGGCTCCGTAACTCACCATTTCACGGGGACAAAAACGAAGACACCAATTGAAGCGGAAGAGAGTTTACTGTGCGATAATGACAATGATCAAAATCTCACTGGTCTTAATGGCAAAAAAGATCTCATATGTTACGAATAATAAAAGAAATTTCAAATGCAGACATAGAATTTGAAGATTCTAGAAGTCTTGCACAGTGTTTTGTCACAAAATCAGCAAGGTAGGGGCAGGGCCTAGTTCTTCCCGAAAATTAACATGTGGGTGTTAGTGTCTAATTTTATAGTTTATAATATAAAGGCAATTTCGAATTTTTCTGATCCTCTAATATGATGCTGGACCGAATGTGATGAAGAAATTACTAGGGATTTTAAGAGTATTATCTCACCTATGATATAATCCCTCTAATACGACATTGATTCCACCTAGGAATTTAGAGAATCAGCACCTTCATGATCTGAGAAGGTAGCTTTGTCTCCCCACAGTTTTCTTGGTCCTGGGCTCATTTCTGGGCCCAATTTTTTTCAAGGCCCGTTATATTCATTTTTATTTTTAAGCCAAAAATTCCCGAAAAGCAGATTTGTAGTTTTTTTTTTTTTTTTATAGGTACAAGTATTTTCCTATTAAAATAAAATTATAAAACACTTAAATCAGCGGTAAAACAGACCAGCAAAGTCACATAACGATCCTTAGTGTTAGTGAATGTAACTATGTAAGTCATTCCTCTTACTGGCCCAAAAGTAGTCATTTCTCCTGAATATACAAACCCCCTCCTTTTGTGATGAAAATAAAATCTACATATATAAATTCTCTTACAAAAATGTTTGATAACTGAGCTTAATAATATATTGTCTAACTTTAACAGCTGAGCCAGTTGGCACATACTCATGTAATCTTATTTATAAAGTACTTTTAATGTAGGAATCAATAAAATTCTATACTTTAGTAGTTTATTCTCATGAATAAGAAATGAAGAGTGTAAATATAAGTTCATCTAAGAATTTTAATAATGTGACTTACATCCTCTTTTATATAATATTTAAAAAAAGAAATAATTTCATTATAAATAAATAAAGAGGCATACGGCATTTGAAGATCCATCGCAGCAGTCGCCAATTTTGTTTGCCCAGTGATTATATTAAGCAACTACGTCCAACTTTTCTCGTTTCATTCAAAATTCCCAGCTTGTACTTCGTTATATGTTCCTTCTTTGGTTTTTTTTTTTTTTTTAATTTGGGACTCCTTAATTAGTTTCCAAATATTTCTGGGTCACTTTCGTGTTGGAGAGAATGTTTCTTAAGCATTGGATGACGATACCGCTGAATAACAATAAAAAATGAAGTTTGAAAATTACGGAAAAATAATAAATAAGGTCTTCAAACTTTTCAACTGAGAACAAGTGTCATTTTATTGGAAGCATGTGTCGGGCAGCAAATAAAGTTTCAAGTTATTTGGATATATTGTGTGATAAAAAAAGACTACTATTAAGAGGGTTTTAAACATATATGATCTATTACCTCCGATTCTTAATATAAAATCTTGTTTAGCTTTTATTTTAATTCTAAATATAAGACCACAATCCACTTTGTTTCTCATATTTATGCATTTTTTTCAAGGTAGTCTTTCTAATAATGGTAGTTTTAATCAATATACTTAATTAGCAAAGATATTTTAGAAAAGACAACACCTATTTATTACAAATAACTAACTTAACTACTTTTCTTAATTTTCTTAAATTAGTCAACTAACTTTTATAATTAGGACCGGAGGTAGTAATTTTTTTTCACCAAAAGTTAAGAGAGTTTTACACCTACATGATCCAATTTGACTACTTGATCAGTTGATTGGATTTAGCTAAAACTTACTATGACTTTCAAAGATTAGAAATGGATTGTACATATTTTTAAAAAGGAAATTAGCAGTGTAGAAACTTAGGGTTGGAAAAATGATGAGGTTTTGGGAAGTACGAAGGAGATGGAGGAGGGAAGAATGAAGAGGTGGAGTCACTGTCCAAAACCTACCCAACCAATGCCAACTCTTTTGGGGCATGACATCCAAATACGTGTTTGAAGCACTTTTTGGGCACTGTGCCACGTCATCGCCATCATTAAAGTCAAACCACATGATTCTCACAACCAACAATGACACCAGTCCCTCAACCACCATTACTACCTAATCACTTTCCCACTATGCTTTCCATCAATTCATTCCATTGCTCAATAATATTGTTTTTTAAATTAAAGGGACAACACAGTGATGGTCTCAAATTAATAAACAACATCAAACTTACAGTGGAGAGCTTTCATGCTATTAGGTTATAAGACTATTAGCTCACTAATATATATTACTTCTGGTTCTTAATATAAGAACTGGTTATTAGAGATTCATTTTGGTCATCATATATAAAATCTAAATCCATTGTGCCTTCAATATTTGTTCATTTTGCCCCCGGGTAATTATACATATTAAGAAGTTTTTACAAACCTTTAATGCATATAATTGATGGGGCTATTTTAGGAGAGACAGTATCCATTTATTACAAATAACTAACTTAACTAATTTTCTTAACTAATTACTCCCAAAGGTAGTGATTCTTATAACAAAAATATATGAAATGAAATTGCATGTTGATGTTAGGCTTAATGAGCTAGATCAAGAATTTTGATTTATAATTTCTGAAATTGTTGCGGAAGCAAATATACGTGTGTGTGTTCACTTGGTGGGTTAATTGCTTAATGATGACACCTCTTGGATTCTTATTAATTTAAGTAACAATTTAATCGATTCACTTTGCGGAATATAACGTTGTGTTTAATTAATTAATTACTATATATTAGATGGTGATGGTGATGATGTACTGCGTATATTATGCCACTTGACGGACACATGTGGATTGAAATGGAGACGTACGTAGTAAGTGAAATAAAATTATTAGACGATCTCATACATTGTCGCAATGTTGTCTCGACCAAACCTAAATAATAATAAATGCATGGAGTAGATTTTCATTAGTTGAAAAAATAATGGATGCATGTCCCACTATTTGAATCATACCACAGGCTTCAATTCGTTCACATATCAAGAAAATCTATAGTGATAGTGACATGAATTAATGAATAATGCTTGGACTTTTATTTTATTTATTGCATGGTTCTGCCTTAAAAAAAATATTTATTTACTTATTTATCTAGGAAGCAACGACTTCCTTGGGCAATAAGGGAAATCATTGGGAATACATATTTATAATTGGTTTCGTGTTCATATTGTCTTGCTTTCTAAAGAATATTAGAATCTGAAATATAAGTAATTGTATATTGCCATCTACTTTTTCATGTATTTTAATTTTGATTTGCAACAACTCCAATATATACAAACATCCATCTTGGAGATTCATCGACCTACTTCGTTAGTTTTGGTGTCACTTTTTCTCAAGTCTCTCTTCTGATCTGCTTTTAACCTTTTCTCGTCATTAAATTAAATTATGGGCTTTGAATCTCATTCTCATCCCAAACACCCTCAAATTTATAATATTGAAAGGACGTTTTCTCGAGGAGGAGGGGGAAAAAAAAACATTGTGACACCTAATGAAATCAAACAATTGATTCACTATTGTCATCTCCCTCCTATGCAAAACGGCATCGTTTCAATAGCTTTATTTCATTGTTACAAAACCTTCACGATAATTGGCGCCACTAATTATTATCATTCCAATAAGTATTACTCGTCTAGTTTTAATATAGGACATAATTGTTAAGCTAATTTTGATCATAAATATAAGACTTATTTATCATATTTATTAATTTTTTCTAAATTATCCCTACGAATACTCCCTTAATCATAATCAAGTAAGCGAGGGAAGAAAAATATTAAGAAAAATGATTATGGTATTTTAGAAAAAAACATGTCATATTTTTATATAATTAACTAACTTACCTAACTTCTTTAGTCTAATTAAATTAATTAAATAGGTCTTATATTAAGAACCGGAGGAGTATTACTTTTAATTCTTTATATAAGAGTTACTTAATTAATTTTTCTAGATTAAGAAAGTCAAACAAACTTACCATGAAGGCTGCAATATCACTCGAGAGATCGGAACCCTTCTTAGGAGGGACTGGAACGCGCGAGTTGAGCATTTGAATAGGGATTGCAACAAAGCAGCAGATTTTTTTGGCAAAAGAGTGGTCTTAATGCTATTCCTGGGTTTCATATCGTTACTGTCATTTCTAGGGAGTTAGTTTCTATTTTGACTTTAGATCGCGTTACCGTTGTTAGCGATCCTGTAGCTACTTGATGAGGTTTCCTTTGTTAACAAAAAAGAAAGTCAAATAAACTAATTAATTATAGCAAATATGATCTTATTAATTAGCATACTTCTGTATATATAACACTAGTATGTGTAAGTTCATAAGTTGGATAAATTAATTTTAAAAAATATGATAGATCAAAAGATTAAAATTTTATGTTTAAAACAAAATATAATTCTCAGCTAGATTTTAAAGAATACTATAATACTAATTATTATAGTATTCTCTAAAAGCTTTTAATATACACAGAAAGAATAATGTTATGTTAGACGCCA